TAAGGCATTAGCGGCACTGGAAAAACAAGAATCCACCATTCAAAATATAAGCTCCAGCGTTTCAGAGGCTGTCAACATGATGGAGGGACATATAAAATGACTTTTAAATATCTTAACTGGCATATCTGATTTATTTTCTAAGACATTTTCCTGGGGCTGAAAAACACTTTAACTCGATTAGGCTCTTTAACTCCAGTATGCTCGATCCTGTTGTGACAGTCTATCTTGTTGAGAGACTTCCTGTCTTTATGTAACTCTCTAGCTTTCCCATCTTGATTTCTTTTTCCAACGTTTATACGTTTGTATATCAGAGATTGTGAGGATGTTGCAGGATAGGACAAGATTCAGATATGTTTGTAATCAACCTGATAGCAGTTAATACTAATATGCCAATTAAAGGTAGCTAAGTTATCACATGCACATAGCTTTGAACATGTAACATACATCATTTATATTCTTTTGGAACTTATTCCTAATGTGGATACAACATGTACAATAGATACTAGCCTATTGAAAGTGGATGATGTTTGTTTTACACCACTCCAATTAATAATGCATATAATTGCAGATAAAAATACAATATGGACTTGATTTTGTTTTTCTTGTACTTTTTTTTTTCCATTAGTGATTCCTAGTAGATGACATTCTTAGGAAATGATAAAGTGTTAGTAGCTCCTTGTGATAAAGGAAAGGTGTTCAGGGCTTGTGGCTGTCTGCCTGTCCTTTGTCCCAGATCTACTTTCCTCTCCAGAGAGCTGAGGAAGGAAATATTTCATCAGGAGATCAACAACTTTCACAAATCTGCTGGGAATCTCCCCAACTAAGTTTTTTACCAAAATTAAATAGGTATGAATATTATTGTTGATTGTCTAAATGGTTTAAGTTTCTACTCACAGCTAACACGATGATTGGCCAATTAAGAATAGAACATAAATACATAAGGAAATGAATACTCTCTGTGTTCCAGGCATGATAAAGCAGAACTTTAGGAGTTTTAAAAATTAGTCCTTTAATAATAATTTATATTGGACATAAAGAGAGTACTATGATTATGACATTTTAAAAGATTTCAAAAGTAATCACCATCTTATTTAATGTCATTTGACAAACGTTTGTTGTAAAGTTCCTGTTTCTATCAAAATACCATAGTTAAGCAATATATTTTCATTATTATTTTAGACTTTTGATCTTAATTGCATACCTGAACAAAAGTAGTTGCTGTACCATTTAAATATATTTGGCAGTTATCAGCTATGATCATTTAAGAAAACTTTGACAAAAAAATAGCCCCAATCTGATAACATTGTTGTTGTTCATTGTCCATTTGAATTGATTGTGGTCTATGATGAGCTCACCTGTTTTCTGAGGTGCACGTGCATGGGTTCCAGCCATCAGTTTTTTGACTGATAATCTATTAACTTACCCGTTTTGCATCTCCAGAGACTCATGAGAAAAAAAAAAGATTGTTTTGTAACTCAGAACATTTTCCAAGAGTACATTGTACATTTTTTCTTAAATCTTTCTTGTATTAGACCTTTAAATTCCATCTTATTCTGGTATTTTTTTATTTTTTATTTTTTTTTTCTGGTATTTTTTTTAAAACTGTGATTTGAATGAGTTTACAAAGCAAATTGATTTTTTCAGCCATTCATACACATTTTGCTTTATGATGTTAATTATAATACCCACAGTGTATAACCAGTCTTATCTCACTTTATCTTTCTAATTCTTGTTTCAATTTTCTTTTCTGTTTCTTAACTGTCTTCTGAACCAGATCTGACTCAGCAGATTCTTCTTTTTGGAAACTTACATGGTTGGTTATTCTAGGAAATGAGTACCTCCCTGATGGTATTATTCACCCTACAGTTGTTGTTTTTTTGTTTTGTTTTGTTGTTTTTTCCTCAAAAGTGAGCCATGGGGGTGAGTTTGGGGATTTTGTTCCAGATTTGAAGAGTGACTAAGAATATGTCTTAGAGTTTCCATCCATTTCTGTTGTGCCAGTAAGACTGGCTGGTTTTATGGTTCTTACTTTTTCCCACATATTTCTCATTCTGACCATGACCTCTTATGGTGGCTGGTCACTCTAGTTTCTGGTCTTTTTGGTTCACGGGGCGCATTAATTCTTTGGGTGAATTGTTTCTGTGCATCTTTGCTTTTCTTCCCACTTCATTGTTCCAGACACAGAACTGTTGCTGCACCTCACATGGTTTCTTGCGAGTTTTTAAGATCCCTGTGACTGCTCACTAAAGTAAGATATAGAAGATTGCCTTGTAGACTGTTAACACTGACTGATATGTCAATTTTTCAGGGTTATTTGATTATTATTGCAAAGTTTTTACAAAATTATGCACCCTGTTGATTCTGCTATGCATAACTGTACATATGCAACATATACTAACTTGAGTGTGGAAATACCAACTGCCCTGACCTATATAATGTCATGACTTTAGTCCCTTTCATCTTCCATAGCTGTTCATCTTGGCTGTTTACCTACAGATTCATTTGTAGATTATTATTGCTAAAAATGCAGAACTGACTATATTTCAGTGCTGATTTTTGTTAAGTGCTGTGTTCCTTAACCACTTGGATTATTTCATGTAACATGGAATTCAAGGAAGAACAAGCTTCAATGGAGAGTGCTTCTGTGCTTTTTCTCACTCCCCTCAGTACATGTGCTGGTTTAATTCTGTCTAGTAACAGTGTGGCCCCAATGGTTATACTGGATTACTAACCTAAAGATTGATGGTTTGAGCCCACCAAGCATTGCTGTTGTCAGAAGACCTGGGGACCTACTTCTATAAAGATTATAGCTAAACTAAGTACATAGAGCTGTTTTACTCTATACAAGGTCTTTAAGAGTCAGAATCGATTTAACAGCAAGGGCTTTGATTTTTGTCTGTCTTCCTCCCTGGTAGCCAGATGACTGCAGCAGTTCCAGGATTACATTTAAATGAGAATACATGTAACGGGATATAGGGACCATTTCTTTTTTACTCCCTTAAAAGCAAAATGCTTTTACTAGAGATATTTTTAAACACTTGTGATAGTAATTAATGTACAGTGAGCTTCCATGTATCCATCACTGAGCTTAACAGTGATAAATTTATAACAGTGCCATCTCACTTTCCATTCCTTTGCTGCTGATTTAAAATCTAAGGAAATCCTCTTGGATTTAATTTTACACCCAAGGGAAACTCAAGAAGAATTTCTTCCTTAGGAAGGGGGAAAACAGATTTTTTAAAATAATTTTTTTAAAGATAGGAAGCAGCAATGAACACTGGGTGTTCTGGAACTCAGTGCTTTATTTTGTAATTTATTTGGCTCATCTCTGCTTTTTTATAAGAGCCAATTTGGTTGGCTGATTACTTAGTCTGGTTTTTTGAATGGCATCCTATGGGAACTATGTTGCAGTGTAGCTCTTACTTAGCTGCTTTAATAGGCAACTTTACCCATTGAAACTTACTCTGATAACCAAGTAGACAAGAAACTAAGATTTAACATATTGTTTATTTCTAATAAATAAGTTGGCTCTCCAGCAGGTTTTCAGAGGCAGTTTAGTCACATGGGATGAAATTGCCCATCTTCCTTCCCCAGAGCAGCTGGTGGATTGGAACCATGTGCTTGTGGAACACCAGTGTAGCTCCTTACCATTGGACTACCAGAGCTCCCTAACAATACGTTTGCAAACAGCTATAATCTATGTTGTTGTTGTTGTTATGTGCTGTTGAGTTGCCTGTGACTCATAGCGACTCTGTACAACAGCCCTAAACCCTACTCTGTCCTGAGCCAACCTTATTGTCTGACACACCTACTCCCATTACCTCAATCATGAATCTACCCTTCTCATCGAGGATCTTCCTCTCTTGCACTGTCCCTCCACCCTCCCAAGAGTGATGTCTCTCTCCAAGGAGTGGTCCCTCCTTGAAATATGTCCAGAGTATATCAGGCTAAGATTTAGAATCCTTGCCTCCAAGGAATAGCCTGGTCTCACCCTCTCTAGGATGAACCTGTTTGTTCTCCCAACAGTCCATAGTATATTCAACACTCTTCTCCAGCAACACAACTCAAAGGCATCAATTTTCCTTGTATCATACCTAGTCATCATCCAGCTTTTTCATGCATAGCAAGTTATTGCAGAGACTGTGCCCTGGATCAGGAGCACCTTAGTCTCCAGACTGACATCATTGCTCTTCAGTACTTTGGAGAGGTCTCTGACAGCAGACTTTCCTAATATAATCTGATATAGGAGGCTTAATTTGCTTTAGAGTTAACAAGAAAGTTAGCTGTTGCTTCCATTGAGCAACATATTACTGATGTTATGTCTATGCTAATTTGATTCCAAAGTGGTCTTCAAAAGGACTATTTCTGTTACTTTTAGTGGCGTTTATTTTCAACTGGCTTGGATTTTGCTTATCCTTCTGTATAACCAATACCATAGCTGGAAGATACGGTGCTATCTGTGGATTTGGTCTTTCATTAATCAAATGGATCCTTATTGTCAGGGTAAGTGCCTCTGTGGCCTACATAACTTTTTACCTCTAAAATCTAAAGTACAAATTTTCATGTCATTTACAAGCGTTAATTTTATACATATATATTCCATTATGATAGGCCTGTTTCTATACTCAGTATTGACTGTTCTGCTTTGTTTAATATTGATTAATCGTGGTGTGAACTCTTTAGAACTTTATTTTATGAGAAGCTATATGGTAGAGTGAAAAGATCTTTTTTTGCCAGAACTTGAATTTAAGTCTCTACATGCTCTACATTTAAGTAATTGTTCTGATCATCAATTTCTTCATGGAAAATAATGTACTGATAATAACTGCCTTTTAGAATTTTTGTAATATTTGAAAAAATAAAAATATCCTGTCCACTTGCAGTATAAGTTGTTTTTGTTATGTGCCATTGAGTCACCTGTGACTCATAGTGACCCTGTGTACAGTAGCTCTGAACCCTGCCCTGTTCTGAGCTAGTCTCACTGACTCCAACATTCCTAAAATTTAAATCTAGCTGTGGCAAGGTGTGTTGGAGTAGGTGCTTAGAAAGCCTTGTTGTGTTGTTGTATTGTTGAGTTGGAACTCACCCATAACTGACCATCCTGCTGGTTTTCAGAAGCAGTTAAGCACAAGAGTCTGCCCATCTTTCGCCTATAGAGCATCTGGTGGATTCTAACCTTGTACCTTTGCATTAGCAGTGCAGCCTCTTGTCACTAAGCCACCAGAGCTCCTTTGGAAAACCTTAGCTGCTACTATTATGAGTATGAATAATATCAGAACATAAGCTTTTCTATTGTTTTGTAAAATTATCATTAACTTAAAAACAACCTGCTCTTTTTTTTTTTTTAATAGTGCATGCCCAAAAGTAAAGTATAGGTAGGTTTGAATATGCACACATTTGATTATGGCATTTATTATCAAGCTCTAAGCAATAAATTCTTCTTTGTGTTTAATGTTTGAAAGAAGGGTATTCTCCTAAAAGCCTAGTGTTTCTTTTCATTAGATAATAAATAATTTCTAAATTATATTGATATTTTTCCTTTAGCCTGTGATTCTGAAATGACATTTAAGATGACATTTTTTTATTCAGTTCATGTGCATTTTATTAAAAAGTAACAAATTGTTTGACAAACAAGAAAATAATAGCTATGTTCAATTAATATTGACACATCTGCTTTCCATAGTTTAATTTCTCCAAGCCATGAGTGGTTTGATTAGTTTATTTCTTTTTTAAAGAAAGCAACAAATCAGTTCTATAATTTTAAATATTTTTATAACTCATGATTGAGTTTATTTTACATAGTGAGTCTGTCTCTTTAACGTCAAGGTAAAGGGAGTTAAGTATCTTCCCTTGGGAGTAAGGGTGGATTAGCATTAAAGCTAATACTTTTGTTTCTGTTCTTGATCTTAAACTTTAAAAAAAGTATTGCTCTGATTCTATTTGGTTTTGTACCTTCTTTATAGTGATTTGACCCACATGAAAACTTTTTTGTTTCTAATTTAATTACTTGATGAAAAATGAATTCTTTCCTGTTTTACAAGCTATGATTTTTTTTCTGCTTCAACTTCCAAGTTCTCAGTAGAATGTGTATATTCTAAACACACAGGGGCATATGAGATTTGTATTTCCAGTAATACTTTGAAATTTTAAAACTTTATAATTTATGAAATTCTCAGATGAATATTTTAGATAATTTACTAATTGAAAATACTTTTTGATAAAATATTTACTAGGCTTTGAAAAAGTAGTTTAATCTTTAGCAGGTATGCTTAAAAAAAGGTGATGGCTCTTATAGTTGTAAGCATTTTTTAAAGTTATTTCTGGTGTTACATATTTTTTTTAAACCTTTATGGAAATTAGCAGTGAATAATTGAAAATAATTATTTGGATAAAATTAGAGGTGGACACTTTAATATCAGATTTGAGAGCTGTACAAAATTCTGTAATTAAGAAATAATTTTTGTTAAATCAGATTCATGAATGTTAAGACAAGCTTATTTTTAGTAGTTTTACAGTCGTATTAAACTCTTTTATTTATTCCCCCCCCCCCCAACATTCCGAGTTCTCCCTTCCATCTTTATTGATACTCAAGAATTTGCACAGAAAACTCTTTAGGGGCTAGAATAGTAGAACAGCATCACACTGTTTCCAAGATTTCAAATTTCAAAAGAAAATTATTAAAAATAAAACTAAAATACAGTTCCTGATTTGAGTTAGTTAGATACAGGGACAAAAACCCCCTCCAAACAAAACAAAATAAAATAGCACATACTTGAAGGTTACATAGTTAAACTCTTTTAAAAAACAATATAGCCAAACGAAACATTTTCACTTAAAAACATATATTTAAAAAATCTTTTAGGGCAGTGTTTAAGTGCCAAAGAATGATAGGAAGGAATAGGAGGTAAACGGAATAAAATTAGGTATTTTAATTTTTTAAATTAATGAACCATGATGTCTCAGAGTCCAAAAGCATCAAACTCTGCCTTCCAGCTGCCTGTTCATATTTTCACTTCACAGAGAATGTGAAACTGTCTACCATAGCCACTAACAGGAACTGTTGAAATGCCCCTTCAAGGTTCATTTAGCTATTCACAGCTCAGTGTTGGGAACTGAATGCTGGAGCATCTAGTTTGAAAATAGACTCTAATGAGTTGGGGGTCTTTATGTGCCTAGTATTCTTGGTAGTGATTAACAGTAGGGGGTGTACAGAAGGGCAAAAGCTCTTCTATTTAGAGGTCAGCAGAACATCCCCATCTGATAAGATTAAATTAATGTGGCTTTTGGTGTTAATATCAAAAGCAGCAGGTTGCTGTAGTGTGTTTGGGATAATGTGGCTTTGAGAGATTATGAAAAAGGACTGACATGTGAACTCTTTAGTGGAAGAATGAGTCAGAGTGTTTGCCTTACTTTATTGTAAGCAGTTTGAATTTATTCTTTAGTTCTAAAATGTTTTATTAAACAATTTGGGTTTCCTCCCCTCAGATAACTATATGTTTATCATTATTGATTGTAATTAAGTGCTGTTTTTTTTAAATCTGTTTTTTGGTCCCCCCCCCCCCCTTTGTTCTGTTTTAAAGTGTTCTAGATTATTTGGAATGATTAATTTTCAAATCAGGGCTAGTTGCTGATTTTCAAATTTAAGCAGGTAAACAAATAACATACTTATGTTCATTCCATAGTTTTCTGATTATTTTACTGGATATTTCAATGGGCAATATTGGCTATGGTGGATATTTCTTGTACTTGGTAAGTTTTTTCTTAATACATTTAGGTTTGGTTTAATCTTCACTCATATTTACTAACATTGTAAGATATCAATAAATTGTACCTTATGTAGAAATAATTTTTTCTGCTTTAAAATTCTGATGTCTAATCACTTATATATTAGCTTTTCAGTTAATTCTAGATAGAACTTTTAAGATCTTAAAGTCCAGAAGAATCAGTGGTAGTATGATAACACTTAAAACTATTATGTGTAAAAAAAAAAAAATAAATAAATAAATTGTCTTTGGCATTTGTCTTGGAAAAAATACTGTATGATTTCTTTAAATGATCTTAATTGTTGACAGTAGGGTTGTTTGACTGTTTTATCCATTTTCTTATTTTTGGATCATGGAAAAACACTCTATGCTTTTTAAATGTACCCTGCATTAATCATTACTTAATGAGGCATAAGGAAAGGCTTCATGCTTAATGATCACAGTCCATTTGTTCAGTTATCTTCTTAAAAGCTATGTCCTTTTATCTATCTTGATGAATTTTATGGGTTTCTAATTTTAGTGTGTCGTATTTTTGTTTTAGGTGTTTGGTAGTTAACTTTTAAATCACGTTATTCTTTTAATCCACATTTCAGATGTAACTCCTGATATGAAGAATATGTTTTATTCTTTAGATTTTAAAGCTTAAGAGTTCTCTAGAGAAATTGTTATACAAGAAATAATGGCATTTCAGTAGGTGGCAGTCTTCTCTTTTTAGTCATGCTCTTGAATCTTTAGAGTAATAAATTCTTGGTCGATTAAGGTCACTAAAGAGCATAGATTCTTTCTCTAATCATTATGGTGATGTTATCCTAGAGTTGGCACCTTGTTGGGAGAGTCAGTCAAGAGATCTAACCAGTTTTATGTTGTTAATTGTATTTTGACGGCCTGATGTTGTCTTTAGTGAACTTTCCATCAGAAAGGGAGAAATATATAAAGCCTATTATTAAATATTTAAGGATATTAAAGTACTGCATTTGCCTTATAGATCTTCTGTTAAGGGGTTGAAGTAGTCTTAGGAAGACAACTATGGGACAGAATGGAATGCAAAAGGACAACTCCAGTTCCATGTCAGAGCATTGTTAAGGAGTAGAAAATGTGATTATTTCATCATGATAAAATTGTTGTTTTCAGTTGTACCGGCAGTCCCTCACTTAAAGTATAATCAAGTTATGTCCATCTGTTTATTTCTTATTTCCTTGTTTTTGTACATCTTAACCCTAGTTATAAGTTGCAACAGGTAAATCAATGATGTTATTCTCAGATAGTCACTTGCAGAGGTTCAGCTGTATCTTTGGCTACTCTGAACAGTGCTGGATAAAGAAAAGTCAATCCTAATCAGAACTCAAGAGGAAAAATGAGGCATTCAAGTTATATCAGAATGAACGTAAAATGGGATTGTCATGATGCAACCTTATCATAAATTGAGGACTACCTTAAAAGGAGTTCTGAGCACATTGTACAAGTACATTGTACAAGAGAAGTAATGATTGCTAAATGACTGATTTCTAGGTCAAAAGATTAACTTATTTAAGGAAACATTCCAGAAGGATGAAGAATATCTTAAAAACAGCATGATAGATAAAAGACTTCACAAGTAATTTTCATTGTTATATATAGACAGAGTAAAATCTTAAGATTAACTCATTAAGCCAAAAGAATCTTGTTAATACTTGTTTTAAATTTATAATGTCCTTTATGAATAACATATTCATATAATTACCAACTTTTCAGGCCTTCTCCTTTTCTTCAGAGGATTTGTTAATTATTTAAAAGTGAGAAACATGTCTGAAAGCATGGTAGCCGCTCACAGGACAAGGTATTTCTTCTTACTGTAAAGGTAAGAAGTGTTAATGTATTAACTATGTATTCCTTTAATGTATTCATTAAAAGCTTAATGCCTGTAATGTTTACTAAAATTTAGTCTATATAATGTATTCTTGTGCTCTTACCAGTCAGCATGATTAAATTTAGTAAAGTGTAGATGTATTTAGATATTTCAGTTTAATGTATTTTTAATTTTGTGAGTAAGCTAAAGTGCTTCTCTAAGATGTATACTTTCTGGTTAAAATTTAACTGATAGAATAAGTTGACCCTTTCAAACTTCTTTTTAAAAGATTTACCACAGAGTATGAAAGAAGTAACCATACAGAAGAATGCACGTTTTGTATTAAAAAAAAAAAATAAGCTTAAGATAAAAATCGGGTTGGGAAAAGAAAGCCCAGATCTGTGATTGAAAAGTTATTTACAAAGCAATTAATACTCTGAATTAAATAAAAACATGTATGAAGAAAATAGGAACTTTCTTATTTTTTAATGTGTATCAGTTTGTGTCAACACTGACAATTACAGTTTGAGTAAAAAGAAATCGAAAGAAATGAGCAGAGATTGGGTAAGTAGTTATCCAGGAAATTTCTGGGGTCTGTATGTATATATGTTGTTGTTTACCATCACGTTGGAGCCAACCATCTGGCAGGTTTTCAGGGGCAGTAAATTTCAAGGGAGATTGCCTATCTTTCTCCCATGGGGCAGCCGGAGGATTCGAACCATGTACCATACCATTGTGTTGGCAACACAGTTCCTTAGCACTAAGCCACCAAAACTCTATTTTTCAAAATAGGTACTTTAGATTTAATGTCTGTGAATGCTATTCATATACATGTGTACAAGGAAGACATGTTAACATATATATATATACCAGCCACTAAAGTGAAAGCTGAAGAAATGGAAGCTGTCAGTTTTTGCAGTCTGAAATCAGTGGAACATGCAACTTAAGATGTATTCATAATTGGTGACTAGAATGCAGTAGTTGGAAAAGTGCTTAGAAAATATGTCTTTGGTGACAGAAATGAGGCCAGAGATTACATGATAGAATATTGTACAGTCAACCATTTATTCCTTGCAAATACTTTTTAATAAAACGACAGCAAACAAAAACCAAATGGGGACTATATGTTTCATATACAAATAAAATCTTGCTGAAGGTTATTAAAAAGAAATGGAACAGCACATTAACATGAATGACCAGAAATTTAAACTGACTAGAAGAGATCCACTTATCTATTTTTGTTCCCATTCCCTAAAAAAATGTAATCCCAACAGAATGTGGGAATTATTGAGCAATATTGTTAATACCACATGTAAGTAAAATGTTGCTGCAAATTACTCAAAAGTGAATGGAACAGTACATTCACAGGGAACTGCCTGAATTTTAGGCTAGATTCGAAAGAGACCTGGGCCCAAAGGATATAATTTCTGATGTCATATGGGCCTTGCAGGGCTTACTGAAGATGATTAAACACTATAGCCTTCAATATGGACGACATCTCAACATCAGGAAGACAAATTTTTTCACCACGGGGCCAGTAGGCAACATCATGATAGATGGAGAAAAGATTGAAGTGGTCAACGATTTCATTTTGTTTGGATCCACAATCAACACCCATGGTAGCAACGGTCAAGAAATCACAAGATGTGTTATATTGGGCAAAACTCTGTCAGAGCTCATTGAAGTGCAAAAGGAGAAGGATGGCAGTTAAATCTAAGGTGCCGTAGTATTTTCAATTGTTTCTTTTTTGTTTGTTTGTTTTGTTTTTTAATTTTTGTGTGCATGTACCGTCAAATCAGATCTGACTGGTACAGGAGGAGATTGTCCCTCCTTCCCCGGCAGAGCATCTGGTGGATTTGAACCGTGCGCCTCTGGGATTGTAGTTGCAGCTCCTTGCCACTAGGCCACCAGAGCTCCCCTAGTATTTTCAGTTGTTTCTTAAGCATCTGAAAGTTGACTAATGAATAAAGAAGAGTGAATCTCCATACTTTAGGATTATAGTGATGGTGAAGAATATTAAATAGGCTGCCAAAAGAACAAACAAATTGGTTTTGGAGGAAGTTCATCCAGGGTGCTCTTTAGAAGGAAGAGTGGTGAAACTTTGTACCACATACTTTGGGTGTGTTTTCACTATGGTCCTGTTTTTGGAAAATAGACATTATGCTGGGAAAGGTAGATGGTCCTTAAAAGAGATGAAGATCCTCACTGAGATGGACTGACACAGTATAACAGTGGGTTCACGTGTGTGGGAAATCATCAAGAGACTACAGACTAAGACAAGGTTTTTTTTTTTTGTTCATAGGATCACTATGAGTTGTAGTCAGCTTGATGGTACCTAACAACAAGAATGACTTGTATACTTTATATATTTAAAATATTTGAAATGTGTAAGCTATTTGTCTACAGAGACATTTAATTTTAGTATGTGGGAGTATAGGTATAAACTGTTTCAAGATTGTCTATAACTGAGTGTTCTTTTTATAACTGTATTGTATAGTAGTTTGTGATTTGGTTGCTTAACTTTTATGTATACTTTGCATGAATAACATAAAATCAATTTATGGCTTTGTTATGGAGCCAGACCTGATTCATTGACTGTTAATTGTATAGGAGGGGATTAGATGCCTTTCTCCAGGGAAGCCTCTGGTGGATTCGAACCACCAGAAAGGTGTGGTCTTTGGTTTAGAGGTGGAACTCCATTTGAAATACTCCACTAGAGCTCCATTTTTTATTTTTTTTAAGAATAAGGCTCTGATTTATTGTTCATCAGGGTGTATGAGTCATAGTAGACTCAAAAGCACATGACAACAACAATATCATTATATATAAGGACAAAAGTTCAGAGACAAATAGGATGTTGACTTTTAAAAATATCTCCCAGGTCTGTGGTGAACTTATTTATGCTTTAGATCTTTGGAAAACCATCTTAAGAGAGATATTTTTTTTTAAACCCATAAACTGTGATAGTTTACTTTGCCTAATTTTGTGTTCTGAGAGGTTTCTTACTTTTGACTATGTTGATTGATGTTTCCTGGACAAGCTTTAAAAAAAAAATTTACTTTTTGCCTTGCCCTGAATTGCAGCCTGCCCTTGTGGTTGGTATGCATTTAGAGCTCCATTTTTTAAAAGTATCTTCAGTTAACATCACCTGTAACCCTTCAAAGGGGTGGTGTTTGAGTAGTTAAAGTATGCTTTTGTAAAAGCTGTTTAAAATGTAGTATCAACAACATCCAAGTCCCCGGTGGAGTATAAATTGTTGGCAGGTGGAACACACTCAGAGGGACTTTGTCGCAAAGGCCTGTAGATCTGCTACTGTAAAGATTACAGACAAGAAAACATTGTGGAACAGTTCCTCTGTAACACATGAGGCCACCATTCATTGGAATTTACTGAATGTCAATATTTTGGGGTGATGGGGGACTCATGTGTGTCTGCAATAATGATATGTTTTAAGATGTATTCTTTTTTTGTCCCTAGACTGCATCAACCAGACATTCCTTTCCTATACCAGTGTGAAATTTCCGGAAGATCTGTAAACCTACAACTTTAATAAGATAGAAGACGACTAATAACAGAAGAAAAGTGATGAAAAGATAGTTTCAAAATTGACAGGGTGGTTTATGTTTAAAAGCCATTTCTGTTCATTCTTATAAATACTGATGTTTCACTTGTTTTGCACACTGGCATAGTGCTCATTTAAAAGATTTGCACATGCTTGAAATAACTGAAAAGCTGGTGGCAGTAAAATTCAGTCACATTTGGTTAATCAGTGTTTGATATAATTGAAAGAGTTAAGTGATAGTCTTCCAGCAAGTAAGTGCCACTGACTTCTGATCTGACATTTAGTACAATAAATATGAAATTATTAACCATGTCAAATACTTCAGTTTCTGACTCTTAGATTTATCTAGTAATTCTGCACAAAAAACATCTTTTGTTCTATATAGTTACTGAAATACACAGTGCCGATTGTTAGAAAAATTTTGTCAGATTTTGACCATAATATTTTCATTATTCAGCAAAATTCATTCTGTAAATAACCACAAGGAAATTACTATATCCATTTTTTTCCTAAAAAAATTGTGTTTCAATATCTTTTCATTAATTTTAAATTAAGTAAACTTATTATATATATAGAAAATCTGAGTGTCGAAAGTATAGATTGTTTTAAGACAGATTTTAAGTATAGCAGATTGTGAGTGTACCAGATGTTCTTTATAAGAAACTGGGGTTTGGTTTTGTTTTATAAAGGGTACAATAGTCCTAGGGATTCTCACATGGAGAGCTTAATTTTTTAGCATTGCCTATCTTAGAGATTCTTGAGGAAGAGATGGTGTTAGATATATTTATTTCATTTAAGAAAATTCTGAAAATTAATTTTCTCAAATTATTCTCATTTTAAGATGTCTTTTGAAAAGCCAATACAAGTATCCTTCACTGTCAATATATTTTTTCTCTTAGCTGTTTTAACATAGAAAAATTTGTATTAGTAGCTTCTTACTTTATGATAATAGGATTAACTTGTGAAAATCATATCCTGAATTGAGATATGTAAAATATCTCTTTTCAAGTTACAGAAATGTATTTGTGGAGTGTAGGGGATGGTGTGTGTATGGACTGTGTTTGTTTATTGAAAGAGAATGTATGTGTAATGGGGAAGATTATTATAACTGGAGTCTACGCTCAAACTACTGTTTTGCATCTTGCAAATCATTTTATATCTCATTTATTGTCAATTATGTCTTTGCTTTTGAATGCCAGAATTAAGAATGATGGGAATTATTCCTTTTAAACTTAAAAATAATTTAATACAGCAAAATAAACCGTATAAAATGGCTTAATTATTATTAGACTGCAACGACTACTAAAAGATACATCTAACTGTTCAGGGATGTTTTTCAGTTTCTTAACAATAAAATTTATTATGCTTTATATGCTTTTGTATTTCTGTATTTTCTGTTTTCCACTCATTGTCTTTAAAAAATAAAACTTGCATTTTTGTTTTGCTATTTGAGCCTCCTATTTTTTGTTTTCCTTCATTCACTTTACTCCCTGCACAGAATTTTTTATTGTAGATTAAAATACTTGTGTTACACCTTTGAAATAAATTAACAATGTGGGGTAAAAGAAAATGAAATATGTAATTTAGTTGCCTCATTTGGAAATTAATAAAACGAGAATGTACTTATAAACAGACTCATTCTGGTCTCTTCATTATCGCACAGTCATTTCCTATAGGCTTGATTTTTGACCTTTTAATTGTGATTTGTAATAATTTAAAATTATTAGAGTGCTTAGCTGTCAAACATCAGTTTTTAAATTTTATTTTAGGTTTTATGTTTTTTATATTTCATTTTGAAATATAGATTTGCCACTTTTGATCTAATATCAAATGTAGTAATTCATTTTTCTTTGCTTTTCTAAAGCTATGGAGTTCAGTTGTGCATGTTTCCTAATCTCTGCATTGGTGCAGTTCACTGGTAGCCATAAATGGCATCATCTAAGCAGGAAAATCAGAGTCTTCACTTTCATTTTCTTCCCAGCTTATCAGATCCTGCATACTTCATTTCCTTTTAACTAGAAAAAACTAGTTTTCTAGTTAAAAGGACAATTGCTGCTATGATTTGGGCATGTTTGCACTTAAAAATTAAAAATCAGAACCATTAATGAAATGACTGAGTACTTTTTGCAGGAGTGGCATCCACTTCTAACAGCATGCCTCTGAAATCTATGAACTTTGAGAAATGAGAATAGTTCTAGAAAGGCGTCAGGTCTTTTGTTCATAGGGTCACTGAGTAGTGCTTGACTTGATGGCAACAATAGTTACTTTTTGAGTGAAGTGTGGAATGGGTTTGGAAATTAATGCAAAATTTTCTTAAAGTTTTTTTATCTGAGTAGATAACACATTTTTTTAAAATTTAGCAATAAACCTATATAACCTATTTTAAGGAGACAATAACATTTTTCTATGTTGTATAGTGAGAACAGGCTTAAAATTTTAAATTACAAGTCAAATCTCGTAATAGTTAAAATTAATCTGTGTTTAATAGGAAAAATATAAATCTATAACCTTTCATTTTTATTCTTCAAAATATGGATATGTCTTTGAAGTTTTTAGAATTGTAATTATGGATTTTTCTAGGGAGACTCCATTACAGAAAAGGTATAGCCCAAAAAAGTGAATTGGAGGGAAATTTAGGATTCCTTAATTTTCCCCACTCCCACTACCATCACAAAAAAAAAATAATAAAAAAAAATGCACAGAGTAATGATAGCAAGACATTGTAACTTAACTGCAGTGATGAGTCTTGAGTTTGCACAGAATCATCCTGGCTTGTGTCTGTGTAGCTTACCTTGTGCTGTGCCTCTTTCCATTCACAAAAGTTTGGAAGAGAAAATTGAATAGTCAGTCTGTATATAACTATACACTGTATGAGAACTGTTTGCCAATGCCATTTGACAGAAGGAACTGGGCAAGAATAGAAGTCAGTTACTACATTTATATTACTAATAGTAAGAGTGTTAGACTGTATATCCACTGGCATATCAACACTCAGCCTTTTATATTCATACCAGAGCAATTGCGATTGTTGGGTACCATAGAGTCCATCTTTTCTCCTTTGGAGCAGCTGGGGTATTCATATCCCTGATATGATTAGCAGCACAACATGCTGCCAGAACTGACAGGCAGTTATTTTCTCTACAATCTCTTAAGTGGGCAATGTTGGATTTTCCTTGCCTAAACAGGATTTCTTCCTTTCCTCACCATGGAACCCTTGGGTTGAGGGAGGCAGCTTGATGGCACAACGATTGAGATTTGGAAGCAGATGAACTTTGGCTGTCCAATAACCCAACGGTGGCACTTCTATGGAACTTCATATCCTCCAGAATTCCACAGGAGAAAGATGGACAATCTGCTGCTGTGGGATTTACAGTTCCAAAAACTTGCTAGAGGGTTCACTTTGAGTCTGTTCTGATTTAATGGCAATGAGTTCAATAATATTTAATTGGTAAGTCAACCATTATTGCCCCTAAAATACATATTTATAAAAAATTATTATGGTAACTTTAAAAAAGTTACTCTGGGATTTTTTTTTAAACTCTTTAATTTTCTTTAGAACTTTAGATACTATTCAAATACTGGGACTCTGACAAAAATATAAATAATAAAATCATAGTTTGATTATCTCACCACAAAGCTTTAATACTTTGAAGAATAGCTGCTTCTACACAAATTTTAAAGAACAAGATAAAATCTTCAGTGAAAAACTCCTCTGCTCCCTATAATGATAAAATTTTGTTGTTAGGTGCCGTTGGGTTGATTGCATGTCTTTGAAATTTCTGGTAAAGTTTTACACAGATTAAAAAGAATTGTGGCATGGAAAAGAGATGCTAATGCCTTATTTGTTTTCTCCGCAATGTTTTGCATTGTTTCTTTTAACTCCTCCTGGTCTTTGCTTGTAACATCTTTTAATTCATCAAGTTTGTCTTTCATCCATTGGA